TTTGTTTCTATTATAAAATTTTGCAAACAGGTAATTTTTCTCCTTCACTGATGTGCGTTGATGAGGCTACACTGATAGGCAGCACTGATGGGCACTGATAGGCAACACTGATGGGCACTGATGAGGTGGCACGGATAAGCAGCACTGATGGGCAGGGGTAGGTGGCACTGATGAGGTTGCACTGGTAGGCATTGATGAGGAGGCTCTGATGCTGCTGCACTGATATGCAACAATGATGGTAACTGATAGGCGGGCACTGATAGGCAGTACTGATGGGCAACACTGATGGGCGGCGCTAACTGACGGCACTGACTGACAGCCCTGACTGGCAGCACTGACTGATGGTTCTGACTGGTGGCACTGCTGGGCACTGATGGGTGCAACTGCTGGGCACTGATGGGTGGCACTGATTGGTGGCACTACTGGGCACTTGTGTTAGGCACTGGTGGGAGACACTCTAGGGCACTGATCATTAAGGCACTGATGAAGTGCTGATCTCCTCTGTGACTGCTGCTGGTTATCAGCAGTACTTTCCTCAGGCTGTGACAGCGTGAGGAAAGTGCTGTCAATAATTGCCAACTGTATTTACTGTGTGATCTGCTGTGTCATGGAACACAGCTGATCATGTGGTAAAAGGCCACTGTGATTAATTTTTACCTCATCACGTGATCAACTGTGTCCGTAGGACACAGCGATCATGGAGATCACCGGGTGCACGCACCTGTGGCCGCGTCGGAGGGCGTGTTCTGGAAGGACGTCATATGACGCCCTCCCAGAACTGGGTAACTGCTCTGTAGCCATCATTCAGCTATAGTGCGGTTACCAAGTGGTTAGGAGTGTAGTAGTTCCCTCAAATACATAGGTCCCTAGGTCAGTTAGGGCAGCTTCTGTAAGAAAATGCACATACACAGTCTCATAAACAGAAAAGAGGTAACAATTCCTCACATTGCACTCATGAGTGCAAGTCTTCAGAGACAGGGATAGGATGAATACTGCCACAGCTCTGGTGCTGAAAACTCTGCAATGAATACACAGAGGAGCTGGTCTGACCTGATAGTGCTCTGCTATCTGGAACGCAGACAGCATGTCACTGCTGACCATTGCACAGAGATCACTAGTGTGTTAAATGAACTGTTAAATGCAGTGCTCATTGGCTATCTGGAGAGACTACCAACAATTTCAGTATCTGGCATGGATCTACCGATAGCTGTTCATAGTAAAAAAAAAAAAAAAATCTTCCAATTTAAATGGCACATCTAGCAGAGAGGAAGGAGACCATTTTTAATACATCACAGAATACTACTTTTTTTTAATTATTTAAAAGAGTCTTTCAGTGATGATAAGAAACCCCTGCTTTGATTTCTGTGTAGCCACACACTTCACAAATTGTACAACAGTAATACAGCATGCCATTCACAGTACTTACGGGTGTGAAGATAAATCATTCAGATACAGTATTTTCATAGAATAACACTGTATGTTATGCTTGGACCACAGTTCTAGACTGTAGCGGAGTATGGATGGCGGTGTATGTTTAATCTGCAATTACTACTGCTAATGCTGAGCAAAACACAGATGCTGCCTGAAGCGCTATAAAATCTGCAGCACAGAGTCCCACGTCCCAACTAAAACCAATTACATAACATGTTGGGTGTGGGTCATATCCAGGGCTTTTTTTTCTCAGAGAACTCAATCACAACACCACCTAACACTGATAGGGTCTTAATGGAGCATTGTTAAATACCTATAGTGCATTACACATAGGGTGCAGGGTTCAGGAGTGTGCTACGCAGAGAGTGCAGAGTTCAGGAGTGTGCTGCATACAGAATGCAAAGATCAGGAGTGTGCTATGTACAGAGTGCAGAGTTCAGGAGTGTAGTTTCAGGAGTGTACTGCATACAGAGTGCACAGTTCAGGAGTGCACTGCATACAGACTGTACAGTTCAGGAGTATACTGCACACAGAGTGCACAGTTCAGGGGTGCACTGCGTACAGAGTGTAGAGTTCAGGAGTGTACTGCATACAGAGTGCACAGTTCAGGAGTGCACTGCGTACAGACTGTAGAGTTCAGGAGTGCACTGCACTTCTTTTGGGGACATGGAGAGAGAGGCAAAGCTCACAGCTCTGACTTTGCACTGCTGGAGATGACTTGTAGCAGTAGAGCACAGGGCTAAGACAGGCTGTAATAGGATGCATTAGGAGATAAAAAAGAGGATGCTTGACCATAGGAGACAGGAGCCCATGTACTTACTCAGAACGGTAACTGCACTAAAGGACGCACCACTACCCTGCTCCCTCCTGGGCTGTCATATGCGGGGGGGGGGGGGGGATATTGTGTGCCGCCGGAAGGGCACTGCTGTGCTGTCACTAGTAAACAGAGAAGTGGGGCTTCTCTCTTAATAAGTGACAATACCGAACAGTGGAGCGAGACCCAGCGTGGGGGTGGGGGGGCCAAGTTCCGGCTGAAAAAAAAGGTCCTGGTCATATCCCATTGGAATGCTGCTCTGCTACTATGTGCTATTCAGTATATTTCATCTAATGACTATGTAGTCATGCATATCCCTGCAGTGTGTCAACCATTCCCCCAGCTGCAAAAAAAAAAATAAACCAAGCTAGATGGTTCATTACACATAAATAACCAGCATCGCATGTAAAAATGAGCATGAGTTTGTCATTTATACATTTTCAAACAATTAAAACATTGCATACCCTGTACTGCACAATCATAGTTAAAAAAGATGCATCTAACAGATCCTACCATTGCTCCTTATGTTGTTTCTTCCTAAATACAATATTATTTAATTTATCAGTGTTCAGTACCGTTAATGCAGTCATTCCATTTTAACATTTCTTCCTTTCTCTCCTGTATGTAATATTTTATAATAGATTGAATTTATATATTTATCTAAAATGTAAGGATATATACTTGATATATAATAAGGTAATAATTTTAACTGCAGGCCCTAGTCGTATTTTGATTATTTAAAGAGACTCAGTTAGCAAAAACACTTTTGACATAATTCCCTATTTAATAATAGAATCGCTTCTCCTGAAAAGTGATTGTGAGCTATATTATGCAGGTATGTATTTTTATGCAGCAAAATCTTCAATTCCATAAAACCTATGAAAAATGGTGAAAATGACACATTTGGCCATATTTCATAGTCTGCATCTATTCCAACAGACACTGTGGGAAAATGTATTACAAATGATGGAAATGGAAACTATTTATAGAACATGACTGTGGAAGACTACACTTCTTGAAGTCAAGTTTTTACACCTCTCTTCCATTCCACAGTTTTATTGTCTAGACTTTCCATATTTTGATGGCTGGACATTGGTCACAGTGGACCTGCGCCTAGAATGGGCAGAAATTAAACATTCCATGTATAGTTACTGACCACTGGTTGTCCACTATAACTATAACTACATTCATCTCATATAAATTGTCACAATATTTAGCTAGGTTAAACCCAATTCCAGCTTTTACTATCTTCACCTCTCTTGGAGCATCTCTATACCTTTTTAAATGTGTGGATACCTACCTTTTTTCATGGCACCATGATGTCATATATCTTCTTCCAATGTGGAGCAGGCTCCAGCAAGTCTAAGTGTGTTCCATGCACTTTGTGACATTATTCAAATTGGAAGAGGACTTGTGGATGGAGTTGGTGAACAGTCGGGTGCCACTGTAATTTTAAAGAACACCCAAAATGCAGTGCAGGTGTGTTTGCTTTGGCAGTGGCCACTGTAATTTTAAAGACACCCAAAACAGTGCATGGGTACACATGGTACCTGTGCTATGCAATTTGGTGCTGCACATTTCTTAAAGGTTGAGTATGCACTACTTTCCTCGTGTACTGTTGCGTTTTCTGCCCATTCAAACGAATAGGATGCAAAATCGCATTGCACAGGAACATGCAGGAATCACATAGAAACGCAGTGTGGATCGGTCCTAAAAGGTACCCAGTCTCATTTTTAGTTCAGATGTAAGATTCATATGTAAGAAAATTGTAAGCAAATGTGTTTTTTTTTCTCAGTCATCAATGTTGGCTAAAGATCGAAAAGAGAACAAACTGGTTGGATAAAAAGTGCGCAGTAATTTTTTTGATAGGGTTGCATTGTGTGCGGTATAAACAACAGTATATTAACTATATTATTGCTTTTCTGCTTTTTTTTGTGGAAAATGGATCTTGGTTTGTTAGAAAGCAATCAGTTTTCTGTATGTTCCTAGCAGGCATTGTGAACAATTAAAAGCAAAAAAAAAAACAAAAAAAAAAATGAACACACACACGTCATCACCTAAAGAAAATACTTCAAGCATTCAATATGAATAAAAAAGAAAGATTGATGTCATTATGAAAGACATAAAAGTTACATGGTACCTTATGAGTATTACCAGAGAAAAAACAGGTCTAAACTAATTATTAATAGTAAAAAGGTGCGGTCGAGCATGTAGGCCCTTTACAAAATAATCTAGAGTGGGTGACTGGGGTCAAAGAGAACGCAAATGTATTAAATACCTTCTTCAGCTCTGTGTATACAAAGGAGCATGGGGGAGCTCTTGTCCATAATGGGCATGGTATTGACACAGCTCCAGATGATCCACATTGGCTCACAATTGATATGATCCAGAAATATTTAGACAGTATAAAGGTGAATAAAGCACCTGGACTGGATGGCATACACCCATGGGTCCTTAAAGAATTGAGCTCTGTCATTTCAAAGCCATTGTTTCTAATTTTTAGGGACTCTTTAATGACTGGCATAGTACCATTGGATTGGCATAAGGCCAATGTGGTGCCATTATTTAAAAAGGGGTCAAAATCTTTACCAAGTAATTATAGACCTGTTAGTTTAACTTCTATAGTTGGGAAGATACTGGAGAGTTTAACCGCCTCCCGGCCGCCATATAAGGTAATGATGGGTGCAAGGCGGTTCTCTCGTTCTGGGAGGATGTCATATGACGTCCTCCCATTCTAACCACGCATGCGTGGCTCCAGTAGCACGCAGCGCAGCGATCGGCGGTGCGTTGTGTCCCTCGGACACAGTGGATCACCGATCAACAGAAAGAGCCGAAGATGTCGGCTCGGTCATGTGATCAGCTGTGTCCAATCACAGCTGATCACATGTAAATAGGGAAATGCCGGTTATCTGCATTTTTCTCTCCTCACGCGCTGTCACGCTGACAGCTCGAGAGGAGAGAAGAGCCGGTAATCGGCATTCCTCAGAGGGAAAATGTGCACTGATGATCAGTCAGTGTGCCCTGATGATCAGTGTAGCCCCAGCAGTGCCACCTGTCAGTGTCCATCAGTGCCAGCTATCAGTGTTCATCCATGCCACCTGCCAGTGCTCATCAGTGCCACATCAATGCCACATCAATGCCACATCAATGCCACATATCAGTGCCCATCTGAGCTGCCTTTCAGTGTCACCTATCAGTGCCAGTCAGTGCCACCTATCAATGCCAGTCAATGTCACCTATCAGTGCTGCCAATCAGTGCTGCCTATCAGTGCCAGTCAGTGCCGCCTATCAGTGTCAGTCAGTGCGCATCATTGCTGCCTATCAGTGCCCATCAGTGATGCTTATCGGTGCCGCCTATCAGTGCCGCCTATCAGTGCCAGTCAGTGCCACCTATCAGTGCCGCCTATCAGTGCCATATATGAGTGCTGCCTTTCAGTGCCCATCAGTGATGCCTGTCAATGCCCATCAGTGCCACCTACAAGTGCCTCCTCATCAATGCAGCCTATCAGTGCCCATCACTGCAGCCTCATTAGCGCACATCAGTGAAGGAGAAAAATCACTTATTTACAAAATTGTATAACAAAAACTAAGAAAAAAACGTGTTTTTTTTTTCAAAATTTTCAGTGGTTTTTGGTTTGTTTAGCAAAAAATAAAAACCCAGAGGTGATCAAATACCACCAAAATAAAGCTCTATCTGTCTAAAAAAAATGATAAAACTTTCATATGGGTACAGTCTTGCATGACCGCGCAATTGTCATTCAAAGTGTGACAGCGCTGAAAGCTGAAAATTGGCCTGGGCAGGAAGGGGGTATAAGTGCCTTGTAGGCAAGTGGTTAATAAATGACCACATAGATGAGTTCTTGCTGGAAAAAAATATTTTAAGCAACAGACAGCATGGATTCATGAAAGACAGAAGTTGTCAAACAAATCTGATTTCTTTTTATGAGGAGGTGAGCAAAACCTTGGACAGAGGGGTGACGGTGGACGTGGTATACTTGGATTTTGCAAAAACATCCCCACACACGGCTAATGTGTAAAGTAAAGTCTACAGGCTTGGAAAAATCTGTTAATGGATAGAAAACTGGCTAAAAGATCGTATTCAGAGAGTAGTGGTTAATGATTCATACTCTGAATGGTCTGGGGTCATCAGTGGTGTACCCCAGGGTTCAGTGTTGGGACCCTTACTTTTTATTATATTTATAGACAATATAGGGTCTGAGATTACAAATCCCATTTCAGTCTTTGCAGATGACACCAAGCTGTGCAGTGGAATAACGTCCTTACAGGATGTCTTCAACTTACAAGCCGACCTCAATGCACTGTTTAATTGGGCAACTATGTGGCAAATGAGGTTTAATGTTGATAAATGTAAGGCTCTGCACTTGGGGGCTAATAATATGCATGCATCATACATACTAGGGGGGGGCTACAACTGGGGGATCAATGGTGGAGAAGGATCTGGGAGTTCTGGTAGATCACAAGCTTAATAATGGCATGCAATGCCAAGCTGCGGTTTCTAAAGCGAGCAAAATCCTCTCTTGTATTAAAAGAGGTATAGACTCCAGAGAGAGAGATATCATATTACCCCTGTACAAATCATTAGTAACACCTCATCTGGAATATGCAGTTCAGTTTTGGGCGCCAATTCACAAAAAGAACATTGGGGAACTGGAGAAAGTACAAGAAGGGCAACCAGACTGATAAGAGGCATGGAGGAGCTCAGCTATGAGGAAAGATTGGAGGAACTGAATTTATTCTCTCTTGAGAAGAGGAGATTAAGGGGGATATGATCAACATGTATAAATACATCAGTGGTTCATATAGTGAACTCAGTGTAGAGCTATTCACCCTGAGGTCATCACAGAGGACAAGGGAGCACTTTTTACATCTGGAGGAAAAGAAATGTAATCTCCAGATACGGAAAGGTTTCTTCACACTGAGAGCTGTGAAAATGTGGAATAGACTCCCTCAAGAGTTGCTTCTGGACAGCTCAGTGGATTACTTCAAAAAAGTCCTGGATTCTTTCCTAGATACACAGAATATAACTGGATACTAACATTTATAGGTAAAGTTGATCCAGGGAATATCTGGATATCAGGAAGGAATTTGTTTCCCAGCAGGAGCACATTGGATCGTGCTTTGCTGGGTTTTTTGCCTTCCTCTGGATCAACTGTGGGTATAGGATTATAACTTTCTTTTTTTTTTTATGGTTGAACTGGATGGACTTTTGTCTTTTTTCAGCCAGACTAACTATGTATGTAACTATGTAGATATAATTGTAATATACAACTGTACAGCTCATATGCAAGTACAAAAAACCGTAAGTACTGTTTTGTAAACAAATGTAATATCATATATTATCATTTTCCTTCCACTTCACAATTATGTGCCACTTTGTGTTGGTCTATCCCATAAAAAACATTTATGTTTTTGGTTGTAACATGAAAAAATGTGGAACATTTCAAGGGGTATGAATACTTTTTAAAGGCACTGTAAAGTGTTTCTAAAACCACAACTGTAATGTCAGCCTGTAGATGCAGTAAAGCATGCTTGTTATACTCACTGTGGAACCTAAGGGGTAATCCTCTGCATTGTGTAGAAAGGTTGTTTGATACTGTCTTCGCTGATCCTCCCCTTCTTTTACTGTCCCCAATCCATCTGCTGATAGTACAGAGCCCTAGCACATGCTCAGTTTGGTGTGTATTGCTAGAGAGTTTTTTTATTTTATTTTTGGGAGGGTGCATGTGATCAGCACAGGGCCAATCAGCACTGTCCAGACAGAGGGTCAGGAGTCATGCAGCTTTATAGAACAGTCAGAGGAGAATGAAAACTGCTCCTACAAGCTCTAAATAGTGCTTAGCTGGACACTGATAGAAGTTACAAGACTACTATATACTGCTGATGAGAAAATGTATTTAGCAGTTTATATTTACTAAAATAGTTGCATTTCCATGTTTTGTGTACTGTGGGAGATCATATATATTGAATGCGGGGCCATGGGTTTAGTAACACTTTATAGTGTTACTAAACCCACAACAGTAAAATCAGTCTGTATATGCAGTAAAGCATGCTTGTTATACTCACTGTGGAACCTAAGGAGTTAATACTCGGCATTGTGTAAAAAGGCTGTTTGATCCTGTCTTCTCTGATTCTCCCCTTCTCCTGTCCCCAATCCATCTGCTGATAGAACAGAGCCTTGGGGCAAGTTGCACATGCTCAGTTTGGTGTGTATTGCTAGAAGGTTTTTTTTTCTTGGGAGAGTGCATGTGATCAGCACAGGGCCAATCAGCACTGTCCAGATAGAGGGTCAGGGGTTATGCAGTCTTATAGGACATTCAGAGTAGAATGAAAACTCCTCCTACAAGCTTTAACCAGTGCTCTACTGGACACTGATAGAAGTCACAAGACTGCTCTAACTGCTGATGAGGTATTTAGCAGTTTATATTTACTACAATAAATGCATTCCCATGTTCTGTGTACTGTGGGAGACCAGATATTGTGAATGCAGGGTCCTGGGTTTAGTAACACTTTAAGAAAAAATTATAATTAAGAGATACTGTACCAATCTCTAAATTGATCTAAGCAGTTCCACAAAGCTCACTTTCTGTGAGTTGCCTACAGTGCTAATAAAGACCACTGTTACTTAATGTAATAAACACTATGGGAATATACTGATTGCCATTATGATTTAATGGCTATCAAATAAAGATACATTTTCATAAACAAAATCTGAAAATGCAGATTAAAAACATATTTCTTTGCTCTTTTCTTCAAAATATATCCATATTTTCTGTACTGTGCTTCCTTAATTGGACCATGTACTAAACGGGATGTTATCCATCATTTTATGTGGGTGTACTTCTTGTTGTAGCTTCATGCCAGATGCATCACAATTATAAACAGTAATGATAAAGTGCAATTTGTATTTTCATAATACATGTTTTGATAACATTACATCTACAATTTGCCATCTCCTTTTATGTTGCTCTCCAGTGATTTTATTGCACATCTTACATAGGCTGTAGTCAGAGAAAGCTGGTTAGATGGTCCATCAGAAAGATCATTTATTCCACATATTTTGCAGCAATGAAACATCATATAAGGCTGTTCCCAGTGGTGTAGCCTAGTGATATACTGAGAACAGTGATAAAAAGCACACAGATAAGGGATATGGTGCAGGTAGATTGGTTTGCTTATTTCTGATGTCAGGGAAGTCAAGCACCTAGAAACATGAAATTAAATCATATAGATACAGAAGAAGATTTTCTGGCAAATTCCTTGCAGCACTGGAGTCCTTGGTTTGAATCTCAGCCAGGACAGTATCTGCATGGTTTTCTCCCTGTGTTTGCATGGGTTTCCCCCGGGTACTCTGGTAGTCCCTCACACTCCAAAGACATGCTGGTAAGTTAATTGACTCCTGTCAAAACTGACCTTAGTATGTGTATAAAAATTATCTATGTTCATGTGTAGGAAAACAACAATAATATGGCATTAAATAGACTAGGGTAGTAAGAAAAGATGTGGGTAACTGAAGGTTTTAGAATAAAAGTTCCATCAGCAAAGTCCTAAAAGTTCCGTCCATTTCATATATAAGGAGTCTTTGGAGTTCCACTGTAGTTCCCTTATGGAGGACTGGATATGAACGCTTAATCTATAGCAAGAAAACAAACACAGGAAGCGCCACCCTCTATGTGTAGATAAATGAATCCATGAGGGAAAAACTGATAAAGATTTCAATCACATGTATTAAAAGGATAAAAGCATGAAACATACACATGGAGAACTGCAGAGCTTGGCAGGGTCTGCGGTGTTGGACTTGAAGGCAGCCAGGGACGTTGTGAGGACAATGCTGTGAAGGCACGGTTAGTATCTATTGTTTTACATAGAGCCTGCCCTGAACCCTCTCCTCTCCTTTATATAAAGACTCCATCCAATCCTACTACATGGTTTGACAAAGGAACGGTCCTTGTTGCCTCGAAATGCGTAACTACGCCCCCGCAACTTTCACATAACCCCCTTGATGTACTCTGCATTTCTGCTTCAAGTTCTGGCTATCGGCGGCTAGTCTTGCACTGCCAGAGGAGGTTGCTACACAGTCCGGCTGTGTTTCATCAAGCTGCCCATTAATCATCACACGTAGAGGTTGTTCAACTTGTTAGTTGCATGCCTGGGATGATCATTCCATTTTCTCAAAAGAACAAAGGAAGTACCTAATGAAGCTTGTGCCATTTGCCCTTGTCAGTACCCTTGATATTCCAATGTCCAATGGATTGGCTTACATGGTCAGTAAGAGGGACTGGCCAGTCGGTAGAGCTAAGCTATGAAATCAGTGAAAGTCAGGCTCACTACCAAAGTACAATCAGAATGAGAGCAGAAAAAGCTGTTTTGTCTATTGATTGTAATAACAGGAATTTTGTGTTAAGCACACACAGGCAGGACCTATACATTAAAAGTTAAATATGTGACTAGAATTCTCACTAATGCCCATGATAAATTCTGAAGAAAATCTGGGACCCATGAATCACATGGAT